GAAATTGTCATAATTAAACTAACCTTGGAGTATTGACATGAAGCTTCTTCCTAGTAGCTTTAAACATTACAAATAATGTTATAACAGAGAATATTGACCATACGATGATCATCCTCCAGAAACTCAACCGAACACACAAATAAAATGGAATTATCCACATGCCTAATAAGGTAATGGCCTAAGAGAGAAAGGAGGAGGAGAGAGAAATTAAAATTATCAATGTTATATACTATAGGACCACATTCTGATGCTGCTGAAATACAGTATAAGAAATAATTATGGAGGAACTACCCGGTAGCTAATTTGTATAAAATGTACATTTATATACTAACTATTATTACCGTATAGTGGAAAATTTTCGTGGATCCGTCAAAAAATCAATTTCGTGGCTTTAATTTTCGTGGTTTTCTACAATTCGGCCATCTTAAACTGTATAAAATCGATTTTCGCGGATTTTATTTTCGTAGGTTTTGAAAAAAAGTGAAATCCATGAAAATTTTGGGCCACAAAAATTTTCCACTATGTGGTATATGTCATTTATACCTTATTATTACCAACACATAAATGTACATTATTAGTATATCATTAGCATATTACTGTACATTATTAGTATATAATTAGTATATTACTGTATATTATTAGTATATCATTAGTATATTATTACTTGTACACATGTACATGTATGCTGTGTCTACCTGGTATGATTTCCTGTGTTTTATTCTCCATAAGAAGAGGAGTACTTGTGCTACCCCAATAGATGCAAACAGTATTAATATCATTTCAGCATGCATGAGGTCATGGCCTCTGTGCTTCTCCTCTATCATACGGTGACGTAACCTTTAAAAATATAGAAAATTATTTTTAAAATAATTTACACATTGCATTAGTTATGCATCAAGATATGGCTGTAGTCCTTTAGTACTTAGACTTTTCTTTACTAGAATTTTCGACCAAAATTTTTGACAAATTATTTAACCATGTATCTGGTAATTAATGGGCTAGTTAGAAAATTTTTTTCTTTCTGAAGTAATTGTGTGTGATTTAATTTTTATGTAATCATACATTATTGATTGTGGTACTACTAATTATTATTCATGATCTGAGTAATTACTGTATTTAATTTATTCATAATACAACAACTGAACTACATCAAACCTGTGTCTCTCCTCAGGACTAAATTTAGACCATTCTATCTTGTCCCAATCAAAAGATGTAGACTAGTAACGATACAACAGTATACATGAATGAATATATAGCAGCTGCTACTTACTGCAACAGTGGA